CGCTGGAACTGGCGGGACTGGCGGAACGAGGTTTAAATCCCAGCCCTGGGTCGTGGGGGTTGGACAGATTCCTGTCTCTCAGAGCCTGGATCTTCTCCTCTGTAACGCGGGAGTAACAGAACCTGAGAATTAAATGAGATCGTATTCGCGGCACTCGGTGTCCTCGTACCCGTGAGCGCTCACGCGGTTGATGGTGTCATGGAGAAGGCGCCGTGAATGGCCAGTTCAAAGACTGCCCAGTGCTCGACTTGCACAACCGGTTCTCTGTGTCTCACCTCTAACAAGTATCCCAAACCCTGCAGACGCCATAGCTAAAAGGAGGAGACAGCAGAGATGCCCAAAGAGGCCTATTGCTGTGTGTGTGTGTGTGTGTGTGTACCCCAAACTCGGTGGCACGTGGAACCTTTGTCTTCGAAGGGCGCACTGCTAGGGAACCTGTTGTCCTCTAAGGGGTCTCAGGAGTACCTGGTCCCTCTCGAGGGTGTCTCTCCCAAGTGACGCCCCACTCATGGTCATCGTGAGCCTCCAGACAGCCTGTGCGGGGCCGGCCTGGAAGGAAATTTTGGCACAGAGAGATGGAGGGGTTTGTTCAAGGTCACCCTGCCCTGGGGTCCCAGCAGGGGCTGGGGGAATGGGCTTTATTAACCCAGAGGGGGATTTCAAGAAGCGTCTTCTTGCCTGGATCCTCTCTCTCTTTTTCCTCCCTCCTTCTCTCTCTCCTTCCCTTCACAGGTCTCTGCACCTCCCAGGGCCCGGCCTGACCTCCCCACCCTGGCCTCTGCCAGTCCTGCGCCTGCCATACCCCTGGTTCCCACCACCTCCCCGGCCTGGCCTGTGTGCCCGCCAAACCGTCTAAGACAAGAACTGCCACCCTGGGTCCCATCCTTCCTGTGCCCACGGTTCCGTCTGCTCTACAAATGTTACGTGTTTTCATCATGACTTCTCATGCGCACAAGAGAGCATATATGTCGTGTATGTATTATATGAAGAATTACAAGCCCATCACAGGTTAAACAGAACAACAGACAATAGTCCAAGTCCTGGTCTTTCTCCAAAGGCATCTCCTACCTGCTAGGGTTATCTTAACCCCTCTCTAGGGTTATCTTTGTCCTAAATTTTCATGTGCAGTGTCTCTTGCTTTTCTTCGTAGTTTTACCTTTAGGGTTTACCTGCTTTAAGCCTTCCTAGGAAAAGGAAATTTCTCTTTGATTTGTATTCTTCCCTGACTTCCACTTAAAAAAACCAAAAACTAGCTGGGCTCGGTGGCTCAGCCTGTCGTCCCGCGCCTTTGGGAGGCTGAGGTGAGTGGATTGCCTGAGCCCGCGGGTTCGAGACCCGCCTGGGCAGGCAGGACCTCATCTCTACAATAAATCAAAAAATCAGCCGGGCGTGGTAGCGCGCCCTGTAATTCCGGCTACTCGGAAGGCTGAGGCGGAAGGATCGCCGGAGCCCAGCAGGTCGAGGCTGCGGTGGCCGGGTGCGGCCACTGCACTCCAGTCTGGGCGACAGAGGGAGACTCCGACTCAAAAAAAACCAAAACAAAACCAAAAACTCTGCATGAAGCGTTCGCGAGGCTGTTCGTCACTGCTTTGCAATGTTCCTTCTGTATATCTCTGTCGCTGTTTACTGATGCACTACCCCTTGGATGGGCGCTTTGGTCAACTCTGGGTTTTCTGCTAACACAAACAATGTCTCTATGAAAGTTCTTGGACTTGTCTCCGGAAGTCCAAGTGCAAAGAGCTCTCAGGGAAGACACCAGGAATGGAACTGCGGGTCCCATGGTCACCTCACCGGCATTTTGACCAGTGGATGCCCTCCGCCTCCCAATTTGTGGTCTCCAAGGAAGTTTTGCCTGTTCTATACCATCTGCCTAGAGTCTGTGTGAACTCTTAGTGCTCCATGGTTTCCACAATACTTTGCATTGTTAGGTTTTTTTCCCGTAGGTTTTGCAACTATGGTAAGATGAAACCATGTTCATTTGGATTTAACCCTCATTTCTTTGATCACGAAGGATATTAGACACCTTTTATGCTACTACTGGCCAGTCCCATGTCCGTTGGTAAGACATGACTTTCTAAAGGTCGTGTGTGTGTGTGTGTGTTTGTGTGTGTGCGTGCGTGTGTGTGCGTGTCTGTCGGAGTCTCACTCTGTCACCCAAGCTGGAGTGCTCACAGCCACCACCGCCTCAACCTGCTGGGCTCAGGTGATCCTTCCGCCTCAGCCTTCCAAGTAGCTGGAACCACAGGCATGCACCACCACACCCAGCTAATTTTTTGATTTCTTGTAGAGACGAGGTCTTGCCAAGTTGCCCAGGCTGGTCTCAAACCCTGGGCTCAGACAATCCTTTCACTTCTGTCTCTCAAGGTTCTAGGATTACAGGTGCGAGCCACCATACGTGGTTCTTCTTTACTTTTTAAAAAATTTTGGTCATTGATTTTTTTTTCTTATTGGTACCATGCTGAAGTACCCATAGATTTTAGGTACTGATTTACTGGTTATAGATGCTGAAATATCTTCCTTCATTTCTATATTTCTGTACCTTTTTATATATTTTGATGAACAGAGATCTTTGATTTTAATTCAATCAAAATTTATTAACATTTTTCTTTACAGTTAGCCCTTGTTTAAGAAATGTTTCCCCACAAAAAGGCCATAAAGATACTCTCTTGTAGATTTTTAGTAAAAATAAACTTTTTTTCATATTTCAGCCCTTTTGTATCTGATTTTTAAAATATAGGGTAAGAAAGCTCTTTTATTTTTCCCATATGAACATTCGATGACCCCAGCCCATTATGGATCAGACCGGCTCTCTCTCATTGACTTGCAACACCTGCTTTGTCAGGTGTCCATGGAGGTGGGCATTGGTCTGTCCATCGGTTGTTCGATCTACCCAACACCGATGCTTTCTGACTTAGTTGCTGTAGCTTCATGCTGACTGGTGCACTGGAAGGCAAGTGTCCTCACACTGTCCTTTCTGAGGGGTTCTCTTTTTTTTTTTGAGCTGGAGTCTCACTCTGTCGCCCAGACTGGAATGCAGTGGCCGCTCCCGGCCACCACAGCCT